TTCACTAATTGAAATCATGAGTCGATTGAAGCTAGACCACCATGGAAAACCTGGCCGTCTAGTGCTTTGAGGTTTTCCATGGTGGTCTAGCTTCAATTGACTCATGATTTCAATCAGTGAAACTATATGTTTGAATAGAATGGAAAATTAAGAAAGGATTTTTTAACATTCATCAATTTATTCATTTTATGTTCCATGTTAGTTCAATGCATATTTGAAATAATTCAGTTTAACTAAAGTCATTCAACATTAATCATTACACATATAATCCAATCCATCTTAGTAACACATAGTTGTTACTATTATGATTATTATTTTTAGAATGAATGACAAACTATATAAGTGTAAGATCCATATTACTCCATGTAACTTAGTTACACATACATAACATTATTGTCCTTAAATATGTATAAGGATCATAACTTTGCTTTATTGTTTATACTTCATAGTTTTACAGAATTTGCAAAGATTATGCTTTAAAGCAGCACTTCAAAAAAGTCTCTGCCAACAACAACAACAACAACAACAACAACAACAAGCATAGTTCGCTTTCAATATGAATAATAATAGTAATATCGTTACGCTTAGCTTAAACTCCATCCATCCATCTATCTATCTATCTATCTATCTATCTATCCATCCATCTATCTATTTATCCTACCCTACCCTACCCGTTACATACACACACAACTATTCTTAGTTGTACTATGCAACACAGCAGGATTAAATAAATCATCTGACAATAAAAAAGTTACACTTAAAATACACTTAATCATTTTGCAAGTTTTATTTCTTCACACATTAAACGAAAAACAAGAAAAAAAAAGAGAAAAAGACAAACATTGTCTAAGCGATCAAAAACTCAAGTGCTTTATTTATATACTTTTTTTCATTTTTTATTGATAATCATTTTGTTACTTTGACTACTACCACTACGACTACTAGTAGTAGTAGTTGTGGTGGTGGTGGTAGTGGTAGTAGTACGAGTTGTAAAACAATAATCATCATCATATCTCATAATGAAAATATTGTAGACAATATTGAAGAAACTAAATCTTTGCATAGAAGGCTATATATCGAGGCAATATATACAATATGAACATATACCATGAAAAGACTGATCAATTGCAGTGCTAAACATCAATGAAAAGATACAAACAAACCATACTAAGTGAATTTAAATCTATATGATTTGTAAAGAAAGATAACTGTTGTACAATATCACTTAATAATTGAATAGTGTTATCTAATATTGTTCTTATTTTAATGAATATAAACAACAAAAAGGAAAGGGGGGGGCAATGAAATAAAGAAGAAATTTGAATGCCACCCGCTGTTGATAAAACTATATTATGAAAAAAAAAATTCAAGTTAGAAAACCTCGGTTATATTAAATTTACTTGGTATTGTTTTACTTGTATCTTCCTCATTGTTATTTAGGATTGCGATTGATTAGTCTTTTATTGACATATGTGTATCCTGTTTGGATTGCCTTAAGTCACAAGCTTTCTAAGTATAGATGGATAGTAACTAGTAGGGGAATTCAGGTTTTCAAATAAATATGTATGTACTATTAGTAGTTAACAACTGTTTTTAGTTTAGTTGTCAGATAATAAAATTTATAAACGCACAAATTATCTGTAATGAAATGATCAATGTTGATTGAATTTAAGCGATCAAATTAAATGGGTATTTACTGACTAGGTTTAAACTAAAACAAACATCATCAACGACAGTAGATGATGATTGTACAATTTTGTGAATTAATTAAAGTTAGAAATATTAACTATTGAATACTAGATCAGGCATAATGGTCTTAAAATTAAGTCTTTCTGGGGTCTTGAGTGGACACTACTGAAGAGGCCTATTGTAATACGAAACAAATGTTCAGTCTTAATACACTTTTGTATTATCTGTGTTGAATCTTTTGATTGATGTTTAGGACTGCATATGTGCATCCAGGTGACGAGTCCCAAGTAAGACAAAACATGCGTCCTCGATTTTACCACTGGCCATCATCTATCTTTGCTTAACATGTTTAGTCCTTTTTGATTTCCAATGTTTATTTAACGAAAGTTAGTCACTGATTTAAAGCTATGGTTGAAAATGTCTTTAATTGTGTTAGTGCTGTGATTAAACAAATATTATAATTTTCTTTTTGATTGAGATCATGAATAGATGAATATTAAGTCACCATTGAAAACCTGGAAACATTGGAAAGTAGTCTTGTCCCTAATATGGGACACCGCAGTAGTGCGCATTCACGATCTTGTACATGGGATTCAAACCCAAGACCTTCGGTCTCGTGCATGAACGCTTCACCTCTAATCCACTAAACCGGTATCCAGCGGTGTTAATGTCTAACTTCGTTGATGAGTTTATGGAAATCAGTCATAGTTTAATGTCATTTAGGGAGGTATTAAAAACCAGGAAGCATTATATAGTAGTTTCGTTGTATTATGAGGGGCTCCCTATTGGTATACAACTATGACATCATTAGATACCAAATCTATGACTTTCAGGTCTAGAAGCAAATCCTTTAATATTTGAACTGCTTGATTAATATCCATGAATTTATCCCTGCACTTATCTACTAGTATAACGTAACGATTATAGAATAATATCACTGAAGATTTTTCCACTGCTTCTGTGTTCACGTTAAAGAATAAATTGAATAAAATCCTTACATAATAGTACATGTATGCTACCTGTAACCTAAACATGATGTTAACTATAATTTCAGGAAGTATCTTGCTAACACGTTCGTTATTCAAATTCAATCTAGTGATTGACTATGAAATTAAGTTTGACTTTTTTTCAACTTACATCTCATGTTACTCATTAGTAAACTAATCATGTAAATACAGTTTTGTTCTGAAGTTATTACGTTCTAAAGAACTGCAAAATAACCTCGTAACTGTAATCTATATGAGAAAAATATTTTTCATCCAACGCCATAACATCCTCTTTATGGAATCGAGTTTTCAGAGCAGACTGACAACAGATATAGAACTGTCGGTGATCAAGATAGCACTGGACATACGTATATTCACCCACTTGGGAGAGTAGTTGTTCAGCACTCTCAAAGAAAACGTATTTGCTGCACCAAGCTAACTTGCACATTATATACATGTCATTCACACCATGGCTACCGCCTCAGTATTTCCTAACAAACATATAAGTATGAACGCTCTCTCAGAGGAAGTTATTGGTCGCCTTACCCTAGTATTTGTTACTACCTCTTTTTGTTAAGTCTTCAGCCTGATAGATAGGCTGTTGATTTTATTAAACATGGAGCAGATATTTTTGTAACTCAATGTCTCCTTTGTATGACACCGCATGCATACCCGTTGCATATACCTATATACTTGAAACAACATAGGTCCAAGAACTTCTGTAATTCTCACACATTGGGTAGCCCTAGCGATAAAGTTAGCCCCGAGTATAAGACCCAGGATTGATCAGATATAACAGAGTGATCAGTCTAGTCTCTGTAACCGCTTAAATTGGTTAACGGTGTTGCCCTCATTATCCAGCAGCTCCACGAGGAAATCTTAGGTCGAATTCTTTTTTGAAATAGACCAATAACTTTTTGGTACATTTATTTATTTGAACACATAAATATCGGCACAAAGGGGCACCGAATACATATGCCGCCACATAAATCATTTGATTTGTGTTAGGGCTTGGGTAATACTCGGGTGCCCAAAACGAAGCAACGGTTTTCTTAGGGGGGCCGCACCCGGAGCCTTCGATCTAAAGGTCTAATCCAAAATGCACTGGAGCAACGTAAGGAGTTGCAGTCACATAGGAGCCGGTCACCAACGATTGGTTCATACACCATCCTGGAACCCATGTATACCATTGGTTTGGAATCAAGGATTTCCAACTTTCCTAGATGAACCCTTCATCTCCATCAACCCGATTAAAGCTCTGGACATTCGATTTTCGTCCTTTCAATTTCGTAAACAACAGTAATGTCGCAAGAATGTAGTGAGTAGAACTTCCTTGTTAGTGACTATATACGCATGGCCATGTGATAGTATTTCGAGTGAGAGAATGAACTCTCCCCACCCTCGACCGTACCATGACATTTGAGGGCTCTAAATGATGCAATTTCATTTAATATATAAAATTTGTAATGTCTAAATTAAGTCTATTATTATTATTATTTGCCATATAATTTATCTTTTATCTTTCTTGTCTTATATATAATTCTATCGCTTATTGGCCTATTTATTAATCTCATTTACTTTCTATCACCTTTTTGTAGACATTAGCAAATCATCATAATCTTCCCTGTGAAATTTTTCTCTGTCTCTCTCTCTTTATCATTATTGATAATCATTCTATTTCACTGATGTAAATCATTGATAAAAGATAAATTAACCAATCAGTAATAAGGGCGTAGTATGATTGAGTAAAATATAAAATGTAACCTATAGAAATTCAATGGGTACGCTTTGTTTACTTTGAAAATTATTATTAGAATGTAGATATGTTAGGAAAAGTGTATAATATGGATGTTAGTGTTAGAAAGACATAAATTAGTATAAGGGTAATATAGATAGATATACACGCACGCGTATGCACACGCACACAAACAAACATGAACATACATGTAACTACACTATTCATAAAGAGGAAGATTTTGTATGGTTGTAGATAAATAGAAAGACAAACAAGAAAATAGATGAAGAGAATTGGTTAAGATTCTTTTATTTTTTTTTTAAAAAAAAACATATTTATGTCCACATTGATTCTTTAATAAAAATATTATTCTGACGATTAATTTTTTTTTTTCAAATTTTCTAAGTGGTGGTTGTTATACTCTTTGCTGATTGGTTATGATTATTTGGGCGACATTCCTAGAATCTAATTCATGATTAAATGTATCCAATACAATAAGGATAGAAGAACATCATCACATACCTACACCTACACACACATACATACATACGTATACAACGATAGATATTCATGCCTATATACCCAAGCTAATATCCTATATCTTTAAGTGTTTCATATCCTAATTAACTTTTAAACTTTATATTCTTCATTGAAACACACATATATATTAGTTTCATTGAACAAAATGATTATTTATCTTTTATCATAATAGATCTCAATTAATCATTGGAATCTTGAAATATAACATAAGTATACAAATTATATGATACTTTTATGAATCCAGGAAAAAAGACAATTACACATTCCTTTATAACAATTCATATTAATTATTTAATGATAATCGTAATGGAACTTAACATTGAATATTTGTCAAGTTTATGAACATTGAACTTAATACATTTTTATTTAATTGAAATTGAAATAAAACTAAAAGAGATTTGTATTGAATTGGTCTTTCAAATTCATATATACATCTATATATATAGTACTACATAAACATCCATGTAAGTTTACTATTACTATTATTATTATTAATGGGTTTACTAAGTATTATGTTTTTGGTATAATGTAGAACTCTCAGCACAGAGTATTTCAACAAGTTCCCTTTTTTATGACTTCTTGATCAATCTTGACAATGGTGGATGTGTCGTTCAATTTCATGGATTAGTTGAAGTTAGACATTAACACCATTGGATACCGGCTCAGTGGTTTAGTGGTCAAGTGCTCGCACGCGAAACCAGTAGGTCCTGGGTTAGAATCATGCAGGGGGCGAGGTCATGGATGTGTACTGCTGAAGAGTTCCATAATAGGACGAGGCGGCCGTTCAGTGCTTCCAGGTTTTCCATAGTGATCTAGCTTCAACTGACTCATGATCTTAACCATTGAAATCACTATAATATCCACAAAACTCATCTGATGATAATATATATATACTGAATGATTACCAATTAGATGTTAGCAGTACAAAAGTTGACATCTGAATAATATTCATTCATTTCAATACAAGTTACCACCATCAATCACGATGTTTTCGATGATACAATTTTGTAGAACACAAAGTTCATAGAAATAAAAAAACATCATTAAAGTTCACGAATCAATATCTAAATAAAGTACATTCTTTTCATTGTTGCACGTTGCTAACAATTACAATATCTTTGATTGGATCTTTTTATAAGTTGTAAATATCTAGACTGAAGGAACAGTTATATCAGATATTCAAGCAGACCATCTTGTGTTATATAAGAACGAATAGTTTCACAATATTTGGGCACCGAGTTAAGATGAGACATTAAAGAGGAAGAATGTATTTATATTTACACACAAATGTAAATACCTACTTTAAACATTGTTCACGTTGATTGGATGACTTATTCAGTATACTGTAAACCAGAGAACCATGTACCTATTTATATTCAATGCTTGTGATTGTTGATTATATTTCCTTGAAGAAGCTTGAACCAGATTGTCAGGCGAAACATTGGATTTACCTCAAATTCTTTCGTTGAGATTTTACAAATACATTCTTCCTCTTCAATGTCTCACATCAACTAGGTGCCCAAACACTGTGAAAGTATTTGATCAAATTTAGACGAAAGTTCTTATTTATAAATTAATTAATCTTTCAGTGTTGCTTTAAATAATATTGTCAACTACAACTTCAACTTCATCAATTAATGTTTGTTTCATTTTACATGAATCTCAAATGAAATGATGATTGTTTCTAATAGTTTTGATGAATACATAACAATGTAATCTGTACACTGATTAGTTTATTCCTAAAGTTGTCATAGTCTTCTAAGAGAACATATATATTCACAAATCGAAGAAGTATGACATTATAAGCTCATATAATAATCACTTTATAATAATAATACAAATGGTTATTGTTAACAAACATATATGTCAGGAAGGGTGTTTTGTGAAGATTTAAGTCATTGAATAGTTCAATTTATAAGTCAATTAAAGCTAGATCACCATAGAAAACCTGGAAGTACTGAATAGCTGTTTCATCCTAGTATGAGACTTAGCAGTATGTATTCACGGTATTTCTTGAAGTTCTAGTGAGAAGCCATGACCAGTGGAGTTCAACCAGGTTTGCTGTGAGATAGTAACTCATTAACGACAATGATGGATAGTGGAGCGATTTCGTGGATTGATTGAAGTTAGACATTAACACCAATGGTCATTAAATTTTGTTTAACGAAAGGATAAGTAATTTAAATATGTAACAATCAAATAATATTTAACCAATACTTCTAAGTGAGCAATATATTTTTCATTGAGAATTTCATTTTAGGCTCTAGACAACATTTGATCAGCTTTGTTTTATCCGGAAAGTTGGTACGCATTTCAATAATATGTTAACGGGGGGTGAAGGAAGGCACATGCCGATAATTTCGGGTGACTAAACCAGAGTTCCCAGTGGAAACTACACACTTCTATATGGTACCGATATGCTAAGCTATAGGAAAGTAATGAACATGTCAGATAATGAGCTCTTATTAAACAACCAGAAAGAATAGTTTTTCCCCAACTAATCTAATTATAAGTGAACTTAACATTGAATATATTTAGATCAAAATATTTGTGGTATGAGAAATATTTTATTGTATACTAAAACTCGTTATATTTTGCAAAGCAAACTGTTCAGACAAACCTTAAAAAACTTGTCTCTAAAAGTATATTGATAACTGTAATTAATGTTGGCAAAGCGGCTAGCTATGAAATTCAAGACACACATTTCGTCTTATTTGGAACATGTTAACTGAATGTACAAGTATTTCAGTGAATAAATCACATCTGGGATTCTTATTTCAGTTTAAAATTTTTTTATAATATTCCTATGGAATAGTGAACTACTAATTAACTTGTCCTATTTGAAGCTACTACGTAAGTTGGAACCCCATTTAATCTTTATATTTACCTTCATGTAAATCTATATATTCAGAGGGGGGTTTTGTGGATATTATGGTGATTCAATAGTTGAATTCATGAGTTAGTTGAAGCTAGACCATCATGGAAAACCTTGAAGCATTGGACGGCCGTTTCTTTCTAGAATGAAACTTCTCAGCAGTGCTTATCTACGATCCTACCTCGCGAGATTCAAACCCAGGACCTATCAGTCTCATGCACGGAAGCTTAACTTTTAGATCACTCAGCCAGGATCTTGGATGCACACTGCACAGGAGTCCCATACTATGACGAAACGGTCGTCTAGTGCTCCCATGTTTTCCACTGTGGTCTAGCTTCAATTGACTCATGAATTCAACTATTAAAATTTATATATACCAGGTTGAATTTCTGAATATTTGGTTTTTATTTATGAGAATATCAATGAAAAAGAGACGGCTATCCGTTATAATTTTTCATTTAGTTTTCTTGTGTAAGTTAAATTTTACATTTAACTTTAAATAAGTTAACCCCATGTCACATTTTGTACATTTTAACGTTAAGTATTTGAATGAGAATGTGTCTGAACATGAATCACTGTATTCACGTATTCATTTACTTACTAGATTAATGTAATAAATTATAAGGAAATGTGATATAATATACTACTTATAACTTTTATCAACTATAAACTACTAATTGATAACTGGATTTATGATAAATTTCATAATGTAATATACAGTGAATGAAATATAGTATGGATAACAATAGGTGATTGATTAGTATGAGCCACCAGTTTCTACTTCATTAATCTGAAGGCATTACTTTAATCTGTAATTTTATAATTACTCTATAACTATTAGAGAATAGGCAAAAATCTGAAGCTTAGAATGAGAATATTAAATATGCATTGTCCTGTCATTGGATGAAATGTATAATTGTGAAGCTTTCATTATTCTTCTTTTAGACATCATAACTATTAAGTCAAAATAACATAGTTACAATGAAAATTACTCAGAAAATAACTAAATATCTTAAATATTATCAAAATAACAATAAGAAAAGATGGATAATGGTTAACAGTGAAATCCAGGACTCGCATTTCATCCTATTTGGGACTCGTCAGCTGAATATGCCTACATCCCAGGGTTGATGTTTACTCTACAACTCGAACTCAGAAACCATTCGTTTCAAATACCATCATTTTATTAACTTACCTATTGAGTCCTGATAGCCACTTTTTGTGTGCAATCAACATAGTTTAACTTGAAAAACTTTCACATAATTTTATGAAGTTTCTCTTATCATTTACAACATTCAAATTAATACAAAATTCCTATTGTTAGTTAATTAATTTAAAATTACATTATATTGTAGTAATCAAATGAGTATGTAAATTTATCAGAATGGGTTTTGTAGAGATTTTAGAAATTTCACAGATTGAAATCATGAGTCAGTTGAAGCTAGACCACCATTAAAAACCTGGAAGCACTGGACGGCCGTTTCGTCCTTGTATGGTACTCCTCAGCAGTGCACATCCACGATCCCGTGTGGTGTGGTATGTGTGAGAGTGAAGAGAGTCAGTTCACTCTCTCAAAATGTTTCAAACCAATAGTACACATAGACCTACACATAGATCCTAAAGGAACAAATGACATATTAATCTATTGTTGGTTACCGGCTACCATTGGACTGCTTCGACCACCTTATGGATTAGACCTTTAGGTCAAAGGCTCGGGGTGTGGCCTCCTAACAAAATCACCTACTTTGGTTTGGGCAGCTGGGCCAAACCCCAGCTCTCACATAAGTCGAATGATTTATGTGACGCATATCTATTTGGTGATTCTTTGTACCAATGATTATAATAATAGTAGTATCAATGTAATTTCATTTTAATATGTTTAGTTAAATACCATATACGTCAATAGATAATGATCATATAAAGGTCAAATATGGAGAATTCCTTAAGAAATTTCTATACATACAAAGTGTCAACTAAACTTGAAATGAATATATATTGTATTATTCACTTGGTATTGTTTACTTGAATTTTCCCATTGATCTAACTATCATGACTTAGTAGTTAAATGGATAACGTGATAGCGTTTGAAGCGAACGGTATTGAGTTCACGTCCTAGAGTGAACATCAACTCTAAGATACAGCTATATCCAGCTGATGAGTCTCAAATAGGACGAAACACGTATCTTAGATTCCACTGCTAACCACTATCCATATTGTATTATTATTATTACCACTATTACTAGTTTGTTCCATATTGGGGCAAATTTATTTATTAATTCATGTAAATCTAAACATTAAATAAACAAACAAATGTAAATTCATGATCCATTCGAAAACAAAAAAAAACGAGTTGACTTTTCATTATAACAACAAACATTAGAATTCATTACTACTTTCATTACTATTAGAATTAAACCTTAAAAGTAAGCAGATGTGGCATCTGGTAAAAATTATCCTGATTTCATTTCGTAAAAAAAAATAATTTTTTTTTTCACTTCATGTTTACATTAGAGAAATGTTCCAGTAAACAAATCCATACACACAAGCACGCACAAGCACTCAAGCACACACACACACACCTTTTGTCAT